CTGCGGTCTTGGCATCCGAGGCAGCCGCCCGCGCCGGTGGCAGGGGGGTCTGCGGGAAGCTGGACTGGACGCACGGTGCAGCAGCGAGGCTTGGGGAAGCGGAGGAGAGCTGCCAGCATCCCCAGGGAGCCAAGACTTCATACACGCAGTGCCAGGCCGGCATCCCTCTGCCTTTCAGATAACCTTTAGCAACCCAGGCCTCCAAGCTGCTGACAGGACCACACGGGGACTGCGAGGGCTAAGCCTGGGACACAGTGACATCGGGATCTTCTGCCTGCAATACAGCAGCCCGACGCTGCAGCCCGACACAGGTAACTGCTGATAGGGATTGTCCTTCCAGCCTACCCGCCAGGGGGGCATCCTCAGCCAGGCACGTACACGCGGGCATGCAGACGTGTGTGTGTGTGCATAGCTGGGCCACGCGTGTGCCAGCGCTGCATGGGGCAAGGGGGTCAGCATTGCATGGGGACGTGCGTCCATGGGCACTGCAGTGAGGGACCGCAAGCGCTGCCGGGAAGGTCCTGACGTGTTTGTGCATGTGTGTGAGGGTGGGTGCTGCGCATGGAGGGACGGCGGTGTCGCCTGGTGTGACGGTGGGTATGGCAGGGTGTTGTGCCAGGGCTGTGCACAGAGGGGTGTGCTGGCACAGTGGCTGCAGAGAGGGGCGCAGGGGCCCTCTGGGCACTGCATGTGAGCGTGCGTGTGAGTGGGCACAGGGAGACGTGTGCTGGCTGCAGGGCACAGGATGTAGGATATGGGGCACAGGCCACTCTCCCTAGGATGGGCATAGCAATGCTCTGTGGAACCCATCCTGCACCCGAGGCATGTCCCAGCGGGAACATGGGCAGCAGCTCTGGTGGCTCTCAGGGATCCGGTGGGTGGGAGAGGGCTGAAACCAGTGGGCCTCCGTCCAGCCTCGAGGGCTGTTGTGGCAACCACATGGCCCCTTTGGGCCACTTCCCTCAGGCCTGGCAGGGCTTGCCTGGAGCAGGCATCTCACTAACAGGATTTGCAGCGTGATGGAGGAGAGCGCCTTCGCTCTCCCTGCTGGAGAGGCAGCCTGTCACCGGGGCTGCCTGAGCAAGAAAATGGCCACAGGCTGCCTAGTGCCTATGCCCATTGCCTGCCCCCAACGCGTCCTCTCCAGCAGGCCCTGGAGACAAGCGGGGGCTGTGGAGGCAGAGAGGAGCAGAGCTGGAGCCGAAGGAGGGAGAGAGAAAAGCAGGGACAGATCAGAAGCAAGCAAGAGAGGTAAAAATAGATCTGCAGAGCAGAGGAGGGGCTAAACGTGAGCAAAAACCCTGCACGAAGGCGCTGTAGGCTGGGGAGACCCTCCGGGAAAGCGCTGTAAGGACGCGCGGGCTGGGACGAGGCTGAGGTGGAGAGGGGCTGCAGGCCCCTTCCCACTGCCCTCCTCCTGGGACTGCCCCGGGGGAAATACCTGCCTTCTGCCACTTCCTTTGGCATGTGGGGCAGATGGATGGGACCGGTAGGACCAGTGCTTCAGGGAGCAGAGAGCCAAATTGCCAGGATGCAGCCAGCCACCCATCCTGAGGGAGCGCTGGCAGCCGGAAGAGCCCGGGGGGGGCCAAGAGCCAAATCCCTCTTGCTTTTCATTTCCAGCCTTTCCCAGCAAACGCAAAGCTGAGCTGGGGACAGAGGTGCTGGAGCATGTAGGGACTGCGAGGAGAAGGTGCTTCAGAGCTGCAGTGCAAGCGGAAGTGGAGGTGAGCGCGGCCTGGCGCCGGCAGCGCGGGATGCTCCCTGGCCCCGGGGCCGGCCTGCGCCCCTTGCCCTGCCGGAGCTGCCGGCCTGGCGGATACTAGTGACGGCCCCGTGGGAGAGCCGGGAAGTCAGAGCAAAGGAATTTGCAAACACATTCTTCAGCACCACGAGGCTCCAGCGGCAAATAAACAGGAAAACAGGCCGGGCGGAGGCAGGGGCCAGGGCAACGCGCGGGCCGCCCTCGGCAACCCCTGCCACAAGCTGGACGCTTCCCTCCTTCCTCACCTGCTCCGTCTGAGTGCCCCGGTTGCGTGTGGGCTCCCTGCAGCCTCCGGCTTCGCCGTGCCACTTCCAACCACAGTGGGGACGCGCCAGCGAGACCGGAGCGGGGAGCTGCCGAGTGACGTGCAGCGGCACCGTAGCGGGGTCCCGGCGGAGCGCGGCAGCCAACAGGCACTTCGATCACCCACCCCAGCGTTGGCCGGAGTGGTGAGCGCCAGCAGGATGTCACCGTGAGCGCCTCGCCGTGCACGTCCCCGTCCTCGTGAGCAGCACCTCAGGGGCCCAGTGTGGAGCGAGGAGCCAGGGCCACCCCGTGCTGCTTCCCCACCATGCGCTCCTGCTCCAGCCACTCTCCTCGGTGCTGCTGCTTCACGGGCCGAACGCGATTGAAAGCCCTGCATGCTGCCAGCATGTTTTAGCCTCATGCAGGCGTCCCTCGGAGATCCCAGAGCTGTGGACAGTAATGTGAAAACGATACTCATGTCGTGTCTGAAAGGGCAACAGGTCATCATTAAAATGGAGGCAATGAAAATCATCCACCCAGAGAAGTTCTCAGAGCTGCAGGCGTCGCAGCCCCGCTACACACCGGCCCCCCGCCGCGAGCCGCCCCTTGTGGCCAAGCGCGCCTGGCCCTCGGAGTCCGAGATCATCGTGAACCAGGCCTGCGGAGACATCCCTGCGCTGGACGCGGCCCCTGCCTCCCTGGCGCTGCCCCGGACTCCCCCGCTGCCGCGACGAGAGCGACTGTACCAGGGGCAGCGCAAGGGCAGCTCAGAGGTGTGCTACCACCGGCAGCCGCCATCTGATGAGGTGATCGTCAACCAGTACGTGCTGCACCCCTCAACACCCTGCGAGCCCCTCGAGTGCCCCACGTGCGGCCACATGTACAACTTCACCAACAAGCGGCCCCGCATCCTCTCCTGCCTACACTCGGTGTGCGAGGAGTGCCTGCAGATCCTCTACGAGTCCTGCCCCAAGTACAAGTTCATCTCCTGCCCCACCTGCAAGCGGGAGACCGTGCTCTTCACTGACTACGGGCTGGCGGCGCTGGCGGTGAACACCAGCATCCTCAACAGACTGCCTGCTGAGGCCCTGGCCGCCAACCCCGTGCAGTGGAGCAGCGACACCGACCGCAGCTGCTACCAGACCTTTCGCCAGTACTGCGGGGCGGCCTGCACCTGCCACATCCGGAATCCGCTCTCCTCCTGCACCATCATGTGAGCCGTGCGCTCGGCCCCCGCTGCCGCCCCGCGCCGCTCGCCGCGTCTGACCACGGGACCATCCCACAGCAGGGAGGGGACAGCGCTGCCACTGCTGGGCAGCACGTCCCCCCCACGCTCCCCTTTTCCACCTGTGCAGCCGGGGGGGACACTCCGATCCTCTCCATGGTGCAGAGCCTGGGCCTGGCTCCCCCCTCTGCCTCCTTGCTGCTGCCTGGGGAGGGATGCTGCACCCTGGGACGTGGCATGGACCTGGGCTGGATGTGGTGGCCTCCTGCGCCCTGGTGGTTCTAGGCAATGTTGGGATCAGGAGCAAGTCCAGCAGCAAGTCCATAGGCTCTGGCCAACCTCCATCCTGCGGCTTGCACCCCTACCACCCCGTTATCATGCTGGGCATCGAGCAGCCCTCTGTGCTCCTTCCCTGGGTGGCTTCGTGCTCCTCTTTCTCCTTGGCTCCTGAGACATGGCCGAGAGCAGATGCTCGGTCCCCACCAGCGACCCGCCAGCAACACCCTCTCCGTCGTCCAGCAGCCAGCAAGGCCACCCCAGGCAGGCTGGCAATGGCATGAAGAGCCCTGGAAGTGCATGGTGCTGTGTGGGGTCACCTGGCCGGCATGGGACAGGAGCTGGCTTGAGGACAGGCCCCCAGCTGCCCGTTCTTCTCTCTAAGTTATTTGCCAAAGCTTTCATCTTGGTGGCCAGTCCAACATGCGTCTGAGTCATTGTAGCCAAGCCAAGCCATGGCACTGGCCCCTTGGCTACTAGCAGACCCACGGCCTACTGCCTCCACAGGCCCTGAGGAAAGCTCCAGTTTATCCTCATTTTGGAGGATTCCTGTTTTCTCCTGTCTGTCCCAGGCCACCCCCTTCCAGGCCAGTAGGTGTTAACAAAGGCATTGAGATGTGCCCGTTCTGCAGGGACCCCGTCTGCACAGGTCTTGGCAAGGGGACCCCCCGGCTGCACAGCGACGTCCTGCAGGAGGACCCGGAGTCACGGCCAGACGGCTGCTGCCCTGGGTCTGACGCCCTTCCTGGGCCTCCCACAGGAGCACCCAGCTGAGCAGGGCAGTTTGGCTGGCCAAGGCGGGGGGCCCCAAGGCAAATTTTGGCTCCTGGCCACGCTCCCCTTTCCAGGTGAGTGGAGCCCAGGGGCTCGGGCATAAGCAGTGCCAGGATCAGCAGTCTGTGTGGGGACGTGGTGGGGTTGGCAGGGCGGCAGCATCCCGTGTATAGCCTTGCCTTCTCTGGGGCATCTGGAGGGGTAAGTTCGCTGCCAAAAAAAGCAAAAAAAAAGAAGAAAAAAAAAGCCATAATTTGCAGGTGCTCCCGAGGGGCTCAGAGCTGCACCCTGGGAGAGCCGCAGGACTGAGCGGAGGAGGCCAGGGACCGATGCAGTGCCACGGTGCCTCCCCGTGCCAGGACAGTGGGCAAGCAGGAGGGAGCCCTGCTCAGCCCCCGCTCCCGGCCCGGCGCGCGGGCCCTTCCTGAGGGAAGGGCAGCTCCTGACACTGGCCCAAGCACAGCATCCATCCGGGCAGGGGGTCAGACCACCCCTTTCTCCTGGGGTTCCCGGGCTGGCCTTGCCCGCCCTGGCGTGCCAAGGGAGCAGGCAATGCCACCAGCTTTGCTAGCAAAGCCCTGGGGACCACCTCGCTTGCAACCCCTCCAACCGATGCCCCGCAGGGGAGGGTGGGGTGACGCGGAGAATGGGGGCTGGTACCGTTTCTGTTTTGCTCTGCCAATGCCTCCCACTGCTGGTTGTGATGATGATCATGTTTTATACCCGGCCTTGTTCAACCCTGATCAATCTCCCCAATAAAGATTATATTGGAACGAACGTCGAGCCCGCTTTTTGGGGGCAGGTTGCAGCAGGGGGAGCAGGACACAAGCAGCATGATGGCTGGGATGGCATGTGTGGATGCTGGCTCCAGCATTCCCACTGCTGGTGGGTGGGCATCCCCACAGCTCTGGGCACGCACTGTGCCGTCCCAGTTGTTGTGTGGGGCAAGATCCCTCCAAGAAGGACATTCTCCAGGGAAGAGAGGCTGCAAGTTGTCCCTGAGACCTGGCATGCTACTCTGAAATGGCTGGGGCCTTTCTCTGGACTTGGCATTATGCTGTCTATTCCCCAAATCCAGCACACTGGGGTATCTTGTGGTGGGATCCTGGCCCCTATCTGCCCATCCTCCCTTCTGGGCAAGCAGAGGGCTCATCCACACCAAAATCTGCTGAAAAGCTGGAAGGTCCCTGTTTCTATCCCTAGCAATGCGTAAGAGCTTTCAGCAGCTCTGGCTGCCCCGTGCTCAGTGCTGTGGTCCCATCTCGAGGCAGGGCCACCCTGGGCCTTGCAGCAGATGCCCAGCACGTGCACAGCTCCCAGGTGGGGTGGGTGGTGCAGGGGAACCCGGTGGACCAGCAGCCCCACGGGCGGCAGCCATGGGGCTAAGCACTGCATCTCCGAGCAGGATGCAGGGAGGAGTATCCTGAGCCACCACTGGATGCAGGCAGCTGGTTTCACACTTCAGCCACCTTTGGGAGGAAGCGCCGGGGTGCGGTGAAGACTCAAGGTGCAATTTTTAACCTCCTGCATTTTGGATCCGTCCCACCCACTAGCACACACGCCGGCCACAGCACTGCTGCTGAACTGGGGAGGATGTTTTGCAGGAACCCAACTGCTCCAGCATGCGCATGCAGCAAGCAAGGTCCGGAACGAGCATGGGAATGGTTGTACCCTGCCTGGGAGCTGCCAGGAGGACCCACGGCCTGCTCCGAAAGCGGCCTCCTGCAATAGGAAAACTACCTGGGACGGGCACATGAGAAGGAGACAGGAAGAGCCAAGGTTACGTTCCCTGGGGCACCTTCCTTTGTCAGGAGTAGCTCGAGCTTAACAACTTTAGGGAAGCAAACTGAAAGAGTCTCTGCAGGGCTGGAGCAGGGCAGGCACCAGGCTGTGCGCGTGCAGGGTGGCACATGCAGGGGTGCGATGTCTGCAGACCTCGTGTCCCCCAGCCCCGTCCATGCTGGAGGGGGCTCAGCTCCAGCTCACCCTGTTCAGGCCTTGCCACTTCTCAGGGACCCAAATACTTCCCTGGCAGAAGGAAAGGGACAGCCTGGCTCTGGCAAGGGTCTTCCTGACAGGCACATGGCTCTGGTTGCAGCGAGCGCTCAGTTGTGTGTTGCCCGGAATCCTGCTGGAGCACACCAGTGCTTGGGGGATCTTCTTTTCAGGGAAAACAAAACCCGTTCACAACCCATTGGTGCCGAATTACAGCATCAATAATGCAGCCCCGCTGGGCCTGAGCATGTGGCAGGACAGGACCCAGCTCTCCCCCCAAAAGTCTGCCCTTGCTTAATGGGTGTGGGATGTGCTTGCTGCCCCGGCAGCAGCATAGAGGGGTTCTGTTGGTCAGGTTTTCTGGCCCTTTTACCACTCAGGCCAAGTCACTGCTACTGCACGGGGAGCATTGCGGTCCCATCAGCGCAGCCCAGCACCAATAGCAGTCTCAGAGCATTGGGATGCCAGCAACTCTGGCTTCCCCAGTTTTGGTGGCATCCCAGCCATCCTGATGTGGTCGGTCAGGGAAGCGCTGTCCCAGCTGGGGCTGGAGACCAAAACCGGGAGGGCTGACCCCAAGCAAGGGGCATCCTGGGCTTGCCAAGAGATTGCAGAGAGGGTTGAGCTCTGCCTGGTCCAGCAGGTCTTGCAGGAACAAGGTTGAAGCACAGACCCAAATGCATTTCCAGGAGCAGTGTCTTCCTCTCCCCATGCAGCAGTGAAGCCTTTGGCCCGGGATGGGTGATTCCAGATGCCCAAACGTGTGGCGGTGACACAGCGAGGTGTGTGAGGAGCTCCAACGAGACTGAACTGCCCCTCGTAGAGCAGGGCAGAGCTGTCAGTAGTGGAGAATCTTGCAGGTGAAGCAGGAATCTGCCCTTTTTATTATGTAAAGATGAAAGGAACAGCACGTCCTCCCCCTTCCACAGTACCCCCTGGGCACAGAGCAAATTTAAAACTGCTAATTTGATTTGGAGCTGCAATTAATGAAGAAACAGGGCTTTCCAGTGCTAAGTGCTAGGTGACAGCCCATTTCTTCCAGCCTTATTAATCTCAAATGAGCACACACCAAAAGAGGGGCAGCCTGAGCACGCTGCAGGTGCATGGAGACTATGAGACAGCTTCTGAGCATGCGCAGCAGTTTTGGGTGAACCAAGAGTCTCTTGAAGTTTCTCTGGCAGCCCGAGACCCAAAATGCTCTGATGGCTGTTGGAACCAAGCTGAACACTCTCACTCCAAGCTCAGGTCTCAGAGGGCTCCAAGTCCCTTGGGTCTGTTTGAGCTGGTGGAGGGTTCTCTGTGGTGGAGCTTGTGGTCTGGTCTCGCGTAACCAGAGGATGCTCCACAATGGGTTAATTTTAAAAACTCCTGTCTGTAAAATGAAATGGTGAAAATGCCTCCCAGGGATTAACCTTCCCCAAATGGCCTTATTTGATATGTTAAAATAGTCCTAGTTGCATGCAGGAATGGCCATTTGCCCGGGAATCAGCAGCTCTCTGGAGATGCCCTTACAGGAACTGCGCCTGGCACGGCTGCAGGAGACCTTCCCCACATATGTCCTTCCCAAACCCAGCTCCTCCAGCCCAGCTGGCGGGTGCTGTATTTTGTGTGGGGCGAGAAACAAGCCCCACGTTCCTCGTGGCTCTAAACTGCCATCTGCCAGCAGCAAAGAGTCGGCCCGGAGCCCCCGCCGTGGCCTCCTGCCGGGGCACCGCGCGCTGCCCTCCCGCGGGTTGCAGGATGCCTGTTCTCCTCCCGGGAGCGCTGGGGGAGGATCCAGCCCCACTGTGGGAGTCCAACACACTTTATTTTTGCCCGTCTGGGAAGGGAAATGGCTCAACACCCAGGCCGGCTGTGCCCTCCTTAGGGAAGTGCCAGCTCTGAGCTGTGGCACAAGTGGTGGTTTCAGCAGCGAGGAAGCTACTTGTGACAGCTCCTCTCAATACCAGGGCTTTTGCAACAGGGTGAAAGGCAGGACCTGAAGGGCACGTT